TTATTATTTAATCTGTGCTTTTATAATAACTAATATTTATTATTTAATCTGTGCTTTTATAATAACTAATATTTATTATTTAACCAGTTCTTCTCTAATAACAGTTATTATTTAACCAGTTCTTTTCTAATAATATTTATTATTTTTAAGCGCTTCTCTAATAACTAATATTTATTATTTTAAGTGCTTCTCTAATAATTAATATTTATTACTTTTAAGTGCTTGTCTAATAATTAATATTTATTATTTAAAGCTCGTAGTGCTCCTCTAAGTGAAATTATAAAATTTACAACTGTCACATGACCAATGAAATGATTTTTTTATTTTATATATTATCTTTATTATAATATTTTGTACAGATATAAAAAGTCGTTCTTTAAAATTTAGGGTTTGAAATCCACTAAAAATTAGTAGCGTTTTTCATGTTTTATTTAATGAAAATCCATACATGTATATGTATATATATATATATATATATATATTAATTTTATTAGTCTAGTATCAAGTTGAGAAATTTTTAAATAATTTTATAAGAATGTCTGTAAGATTACAGGCAGTGAATAATAACGTATATTGTTGCAAAGTATATTTCTCAATAAAATAGCAGCGTTATGGTAATTTAGAAATAGATGTTATCGTAAAAATTACCATAAAAGAGTAATGAGAACCAATACCTACCACCTCCGTGATCCAAGATGAACTGCACAATGCCCACGTTATTTCGAGTTGCTGCATGATGAAGAGCGAATTGCCCTTTGCTGTCTTGAAATTTCAGTAGAGTCGGGTCTTTATTATAAGTATTTTCAAACTCAAACATTTTCTCCGTACAAGCAGCCTAAATTTGGAATGAAACCTCATAGTAATTCACTTGCGAAATACATTTATCTTATGAATAATATCTAGTTAACAAATATCATTGTTGTCCCTTATGAATCCCTGAAACATAAAATAGATAACACGTGAGTGTTTAATATTGAGATCATAACACAATCATGTCGTAAAAAAATTCAAGATCATGAAATGTTTATTATACGTTAGTCCACATATGGGTATACAACGTATAATACGTTTTAATCGCATTCCAAGGATAAAAGGAAAAATAAGGCAGGAAGTATTAGGACGTCAGGAAATTAATGTCGCGTTTTGAAAGACCTTCATTAACCACCTCCAAAAAACGTACATCACGTATAATAGTTAAACGAACCGCCTAAACTTCACATTAGTGTAGCCTATATAATGTGTCAAGTTTAGTATTCTCTCATCCCTTATAGTGATGACACACGACGAGA